AACCAAACGCAATCACAAGGCATGGTCAAATTCCATCAGATTTCATTTCATTCCCTCAAAGTCAAATTCATTTGATGAATTCCAATTCCATCGAATTCCATTCTACGAACCAAACGCCCCCTTATGGTTATGGACTCAGTCGATCAAATTTTTGTTGGGTTTTTAATTTGTCCCACATAGAACGAATTCTAAACCTTTGCTTGTCTTATAGTACCTTATTCGTATCTTTTATAAAATTGTCTAACTATTTGAGCTTAGCATATATTAAAGATCAACATGGGCCTTGAAACTCGATGGTTCATTGTTTGACAGTTTTTTGTCGAGTTCGAGTATTTACACGCTTGAACGGGTTGTTGAATACTCTAGGTAAACGTCTAATTCAAACTGTACACGGGATGGGTTTTTGTCTAAGGACACTGCATATCGCAGGCCTCAATACAATCGTTAATAATCTTCAAGTTTGTTGCAATAATCGAGTCAGTCATCTAATCTTCCTTGCAATAATCGAGTCAGCAAAAAATGTGTTTTGTTGTTTGATAAAAGTCCAGAGAAGCTCAATAAATTTTCTTATTTTAAATAATTAAGGTTTTTTTACTCTTGATATTGAATAAATAAACCACTAAAATTTCCTATTTTAATTATTAAGTCATATAACAGTTTTTTTAATAAATAAAAAAATCGAATTTTAAAGTCTGTTATCTACATCATTTCAATCCTAAAAATTAGCTGTAACAACTTAGAAATGTTTCAATGTAAAAAAAAACCTAAAGTGGTGTTGATGTTCCAAATCAATGCAAGCCCTTTGGACCCAACGACATCGCTACCATACGGATTTTTTTTGAGTAAATAGACCATTGGGTTTTTCTATTTTTAATGAATTAACCTTTTTTTTTTAAATAAATAAACAATTGAATTTTTAAAAATTGGTTATGTACATAATTTTAACCCAAAAAAATTCTCTGTAATCATCTACAAAGGTTTTAAAGTAAAAAAAAGTTAAATCGAGTTTATCGTTCCAAACTCTACGACATTCAAACCATTTGGATCCAACGACATTGATCCCATTCCGTGCTCCATCATTGTCCGATCTCCATGACCATCCATAGCCGCCGTTGCTCTCTGTCATTGATCTCAACGAGGATCCTCGTCATGAATTTTAGGGTTGTG